CAGACTGGGACCAGAATGGGATCAGACTGGGACCAGACTGGGACCAGAATGGGACCAGAATGGGACCAGACTGAGACCAGAATGAGACCAGAATGGGACCAGAATGGGATCAGACTGGGACCAGACTGGGACCAGAATGGGATCAGACTGGGACCAGAATGGGATCAGACTGGGACCAGACTGGGACCAGAATGAGACCAGAATGAGACCAGAATGGGACCAGAATGGGATCAGACTGGGACCAGACTGGGACCAGAATGAGACCAGAATGGGACCAGACTGGGACCAGAATGAGACCAGAATGGGACCAGAATGAGACCAGACTGGGACCAGAATGAGACCAGACTGGGACCAGAATGGGACCAGACTGGGACCAGAATGACCTAGTTGTCAGGAGCGTTTGGTTCTCTTTGGTTCTGGAGTTTGTAGACGGACCCACATTGAACCTCTGATCTTTGGCAGAACTTCTGGCCCAGATTATCGTTCATCGGTCGGATCGACCTGGAGCCGGACGCGGCTCGCGAATATCTGACTAGAAACTAACTTCACTGCGGTAATTTTAGGCACAAATGGTTTATCGTCTCCATGGTTACCTGGCGACTCTGGAGCAGCAGGAAGTTGTTCTGGTCGATGTGGAAGGAGGCGACAACGCCCGAGTCCACGTTGGTTACCGTGACGTCCAGGTCGGAGTGCTCTGACCCCTGCAGAGCGGCGAAGGTGGACAGAGCCTGCAGAGCCACCACCGTGTCCTGGACAGAGGGGAGGGAAAAGAGGCACTGAACTGGACTGAACCCAGTTTAAACCGGTTTACGCCGGTTCCAGACCTGCGTGCTGCCGTATCCTCCCAGGTGGTTCCTCTGCTGGCTCAGCCACTGCATCAGACTCAGACCTTCGTCGACCCGGTTCAGTTCGTAGAGAGAAAGCAGAACGTAGGACGCTATCTCGATGTCTGCCGAGCGAGGTTGCCATGACGATGACAGGCCAGCGTCAGGTGATGACCAGGTCGGGACACCGTCTGCTGTCAGAGAGACAGAGCAGGAAGTCATACGCAACGTCTCCAACCGCGTCGGGACGAAGAGCCAATGAACGTACCCCTCAGGTCAGCTCGGCCAATCAGACGGTTGAGCGCGGCGTGGGAGGCGGGGCTTCCTGCCAGGGCCAGAGCGTAGCTGAGCAGGCTCAGGCTGTAGTTGCTGGAGACGCTCTGGTCCAGCCGGGCCTCCAGGTAGCCGAGGGCAAAGGTCACCTGGGAGGCGTACTGCGCCTGGCAGACAGAGAGCAGGGCGGCAGCTCGTTAGCACCGCTCGCCCCGATAGAACCAGAACCGGGTCGGACCCGCTCACCCTGATGGAGCCGTCCTCCAGGAGGGCGACCAGGACGTAGGCGGTGAGGGACACGGGTCCGTCCAGGCCGCCCTGCAGCTCGGAGTGGATCACGGTTCCGGGCTCCGCCGCGGCGCCGCCCGCCGCCCGTTGCGCCGCCAGCCACGCCGCCGCGCTCTCCAGAACCCGGCCGTCCACGCCAACCCACGGCCGCGCCTGCAGCAGGCAGCGCAGCACGAAGGCCGTCAGCCTGCGCAGAGAGACGGTCAGAGGAGGTTCTGGTCCGGTTCTGGTCCGGTCCCGGAACCGAATCCTACCAGGTGCTGCCTGACGAGTCCTGCTGGCCGAAGGCGCTGAAGGAGCCGTCGGCCCGCTGGTAGGACAGCTGCCGCTCATAACCTGCCGGAGAACAGAACCATCACGACCCGGTTCACGTCTGGGGAGGTTCTGTTGGTTCTGTGTGCTACCTTTCAGCATGTAGTCAGTGGCCCGGTTCTGCAGCGCCGGGTCCAGCGGGCCTCTGGCGCTGAGGTACCGCAGGACATAGACATTTGGAGCGAAGTGGATCATGTTCTGCTCCCCGCAGCCGAACGGCATCTGGACCAGCGAGTCCAGACCGCTGATGGACGGGCCCAGCAGGTCGCCTTCAGCACACACAGGTTAGACGGGCTGAACGGACCGGAACCAGGACACTAACGGTTCTGGAGAGCCAGCCTGGACACCGCCTGCACAGCCGGTACCGATCCAAACTAACAAACAGAAACCGCAGCGACAGAACCGGAAGAGACTGTGGTCCCAGTGACGGGCCGGTTCCCTTCACAGTTCCCACCTGGTCCTTCATTTTGGTCTGATAATAAAATGTGAAAAGTTTTTCACTCATTAAAAAAATTAAGTTGCTTTTAAAGGGTTAAAAACCCAGAAAGTCCAGAATATTTGACCAAGTTAATAATTAGAGAAATAGAAGTTGATCAGTTTGACCCAGATAGAGAAAATCATTCAGCACCAGCCCGTGCGGTCCGGTTGGACCCGGGTCCTAACAGAACCATCAGGTCAACGTACCGATGGCCGTCACCGAGACGCGCTGGCTGCCGTCCACCACGCCTGCAGGGAACCGGAACGCCACGGAACCGGAGCGGCCGGCGGGGAGATCCAGGAGGAGGGAAGAGGAGAAGCTCTGAGGCCGACCTTCAGCCTGACGGGGAACAGAGAAGGACGTGATGACGTCAGGAACATGGAGGTTTAAATTTAAAAATATTCACAACTTCAAACATTCAGGGTTTTATTAGGATTTCTGGGCCTAACGGACTGAGGAACAGTGGAGCCCCATTTATGCTGTCGACCTAAATAAAATGGCCTCCAGCAGTCAGCTGCTTAGTGATCAGGTCCACCTGCAGTGGTTCTGGTTCTGGTTCTGCAGAGGACAACCAGCATCATGGAGACCATTTCTTAAACTTTAAAATTATATCCTGAGAACTTAAGTTTATCAAGTCCTGCTACATATTCTCAGTCTGGACTTTAACTAGGCCATTCTGACCCGTGAGTCAGCTCTGAGAGTGGACGGGGTGTGAATACTTTTGCAGAGTGTTTTGTTCCTCCTCCCACCTTAACCAGGACGGTTGTGCGAACGAAGTCGGCCGCCGCGGAGGACACGGCCTTCACGGCGATGGGGACGTCTCCCAGGACCAGAGGCCTGATGGGAACCAGGACGGTGGCGCCGCCCTCCGGCTCCACCAGGAGGCGCCGCACGCTGGCCATGGCGACCGCCTCGCTGTCCGGGAACACGAACTCGAAGGCGTCGCTCTCTGCGACGATCACGGTGACCTGGAGACAGACAGACGGACGGAGACACGCCCGGATCGGATTCAGCCCTAGACAAAGCTGGCAGGACGTGTTTCTGGGTCGGAACCGCCCGGTTCATTCACCGCTGAAATCAGACGCCATCAGTGTTCCTGATGACGCGCGGAAATATTAGACAGTAGAAGAAGAAAATAAAGAAGAGTTTCTGCCCCGCCCTGCAGATGAAACCATAGACATGAATACCAGACCCTCACTGAGCGCTGAGATCTACGTTACGTCGCCGCCATCTTGTATGTGGCAGCAGATCGGAGCTCCTTCAGTCCTGTTCTGTGTGTTTCAACCGTTTTACGAAACAAACTGGATTCATTGGCTTTACCTTCCACAGGTA